TAGGAATGCTTGTGCCGGAGAACAGACGTCAGCATAGATCACGGGACACTGACGTGCAGTGGTGAGAAGAGGAGAGCATCTCAGCAGGCAGCTGGAGTGGGTGGGGCAATGCCATAAGCAAAACAGCTGTGTGGGCAAAGAAGTCACAGACTCCAAGACTCCAGAGGGTGGTGACCGGCCAGTTAGGAAGAATGTGACCGAGAAGAAGGCCCGGGACAACGGAGCCATGGTGGGTGCTGCGCACACCACTGGGAGAAACTGAGTCTACACCAACTCTATGTCCCTCTGTCCTATCTTCTGGCTGCTAAACTTTGTGCAAGCTGATTTATGAAACAGAAACTTCACCTCAAAAAGTCCTACTTGAAATTGTGGAATGCTATCATTGTTGTGGCCCCTTTGAAGAAGGGTTCACCTGTTAGGAGGTGTTTTACAGAGGAAACATTCTACTTTAATGCTGTAGTCCAGGGGTCCTCAAACTTTTTAAACAGGGGGGCAGTTCACTGTCCTCAGACCTGTTGGAGGGCCGGACTATAGTTAAAAAAAACTATGAACAAATTCCTATGCACAGTGCACATATCTTATTTTGAAGTAAAAAACAAAAGGGGCAACAACACCCGGTGGACTGGATAAATGCCCTCGGCGGGCCGCATGTGGCCCCCGGGCCATAGTTTGAGGACACCTGCTCTAGTGTCTTATGTGGTGTCGTTTCTTGTCTACCCTTCCACTGAACCCGGGGCTGAGTGGATCAGTCACTGATGAAAGGGCAAGTATCGTATGAGGTCACCACTACAAGAGGCCACGGAGTGGTCTTCACATGGAAAGAAAGCTCTTTTGATAATGAGTGGTAGGAAGGAAGGAGAGGGCGAATCACTAGCAAGAGTGGTTAAGCATAACTTGGGTGAAGAGAAAAGAGAAAAAAGGAAAGAAAATATTGCTGTGACCAAGTGATTATTGTATAAATATGGATCAAATTTTGCTCTTCTGTGCACTTACTATATAGTTTTAAATGGGTGTCTAATGGGGCAACCAGACAGGAATATTGAGCATACTCACACACTGTGCACAATAAAACCGGCCTCACTAAGCCATGTGTGTAGAAAGTGTTGAATGGGCACCTAAATTGCTGTGCAAACCTTCACTGAAAACACAAGAAAAGATTAAAAGGAATAAATGAAACCTGGGAGTGGGAATTAAAAGAAAAGAACAAGAATGGCAAGTAAGAGCCGTGGACAAACCATTGACTTATAGTTTCACAGTCAGCTAAAATTTGTGCCCAGGCTCCGCTGAGCTTTCATTTCAACTTTATTTAAAGATGACCTATAATTTGAAGAAGAATGTACCTGTCTGCTTTTGTATCTGAAAATAACAAAGTTTTAAAACTATATAACATTCACCGTTGGGGAAGAGATTAGGAGAGCTGTGAATCTTGTTTTCCTGTTACTTTTTGAGATGAAAATCCATTCGTTGAATTCTTCTGGGTGAACCAGAAGGAAGTTCTTTTTCTCTTAATTTCCAAAGACTCTTCCTGCAATTTCTGGTCCACGTTTTTATGATTAAAATTATACCTCTTTCATGTGACAGAGCTCATGGAATGCAAACACGAGATGCGGTGTGACGGTTAGGGATTATGTCAACTAGACAACCCTCAGTAAGGGTTAAAGGGTGGAGCCCAAACTATCCATTGGACACCAGCCTCTTTGGTGGCATTGCCTTTTTTGTATAAGAGAGAGAGAGACTGAGCAGAATCAGCTCTTCTTTTGACCCTTCACCTCCTGCCAGAGCTGGGTCGTGTGTCGGGTTCCTCAACCTCCTGTTACGTCACCCGCAGATCCCAGGAGCTGTCAGTGGGCGACCAAAGGTGGATTCATTCGGTCAACTTTGGACCTCAGCGTCCACCAGCCTGTACCCCCACTGCCTCTGCTTCATCATCCTGCTTCAGGTTCCTCAGCTTCCCCAAGCCAGGAGAAGCCTGATATGAACCAGCCTGGATTGACTTCTTTCTAAACTGCGTGAGCCCTTTCTTAGTGTAAATCTCCTTCTACAGACAAACGCATGCAAGCGTCACTGGCTTTGCTCTTCCAGAGAACCCAGCCTAACACACACAGCTGGCTTTTTATGAGCATATATGCTGCCATTTCCTCCTCTTCTTTTCTCTAAATAAATTATGAAATGTGATAAACAGACATTTGTGAAACTAGATACGTTTCTTCACCTAGGTTCAACAACCTGTAATGACCTATACATCCCAATGAACAAATATTAGAACTTTGAGTAATAATAAACCAGTTACAAATTTTTTTAAAACATTTTATTAGGGGCTCATACAACTGCTATCGCAATCCATACACACATCAATTGTGTAAAGCGCATTTGTACATCATTCTCAAAACATTTTCTCTCCACTTAAACCCCCGACATTAGGTCCTCATTTTTCCCCTCCCTCCCCGTGCCCCGTCCCTCATGAGCCCTTGATAGTTTATAAATTGGTATTTTGTCATATCTTGCCCTGTCTGACGTCTCCCTTCACCCACTTTTCGGTTGTCTGTCCCCCAGGGAGGAGGTCACACACAGTTCCTTGTAATCGGTTCCCTCTTTCCTACTCATTCTCCCTCTACCCTCCCTGTTTCGCCACTCACACCACTGGTCCTGTAGGGCTCATCCGCCCTGGATTCCCTGTATTTTCAGTTCCTATCTGTACCAGTGTACATCCTCTGGTCTAGCCAGACTTGCAAGGTCGAATTCGAGTCATGGTAGTGGGAGCGGGGAGGAAACATTTGGGAACTAGAGGAAAGTTGTATTTCTCATCATTGTTACATCACACCCTGTCTGGCTTATCTCCTCCCTGAGACCCCCTCTGCAAGGGGATCTCCAGTGGCCTACTAATGGGCTTTGGGTCTCCACTCCGCACTCCCCCCATCATTCACTATGGTAAGATTTTTTGTTCTGATGATGCCTTATTCCTGATCCCTTCGACACCTCATGGTTGACAAATTTTTAAAAAGGAATTCTTGCTGTTGCACAGATTCCGGAGGATAGTGACCCCATCGTAAGGCCACGTGGGTGAATTGTCACCTTGTGCCTCGGTGCTTTTCACCGCTCTTGTTCTGGTCCCTGGAATGGCGCAACTGTGCCACTATAACCGAAAGCTCAGAGGGGTGACTCCACCCCGCAGCCTAACAGAGGAAAGGTCTGGTGATAACAGCCAAGAAGCCCAACAGAGCAGCTCGGTGCTGCGACCCTCATGCCATCAGAGTGAGAACCGACTTCAGGTTGGCAGCCTTGCGTTGTGTCCTTGTTAGGTTTGGGTTTTGATTCTCTGCTCTGGAGCCCCAGGGGAGTAAAGGGGTTAAAGCACTCAGTTGTTAACTGAAAGGTTGGAGGTTCCAGTCCACCTGGGGCCCCTTGTCAGAAAAGTGTGGAAGGTCTCCACTTCTAAAAGCTCAACCCTTGGAAACCCTACAGAACACAATTCTATTCCATCTCCAGGCTGTCGCCATGGGTTGGCGTTGAATGGACAGCTTGTGCTTTCTGTAACAGGCATGTTAGGCTGAAGTGAGGGAGGCTGGGTGCCTAGAGAATATAAATCTCCATACAAACCATGGCTGAGACCCCAAGGCACATGCCATTCACCTGGTCAGAAGCAAAGAAAAGACAAAGGGCGACGTTGGTCCTACAGCTGCTTGCAGTCCTATGATGCCATCACTGAAGTCCTTATAGGGTGGATGGGGCACCTGTCTCGATGGAGCTAGCACCACCCCCAACACCCCCAACCCCAGGATCACCCAGTCATGGCCATCACAATGCAAGTGAAGCTCTTTAATACCACTCACTTCTTCCTAGCTCTGGCGGAAATTTGCTCGTCTGGCCTGTAACTTCGTGGTCATCTTCATCCCCTGGGAAATGAGGATAAAGAAAATTGAGAGTAAGTATGTATACTGGGAGGAGTGGCACAGGGAAGGCCAAAGTACATGTAGCCGATCCACCATGAGGCCTAAGAAGGAGCCGCAGTCCTGGCTCACACACATGCGTGCCTATGATCTACTAGGGTCCTCACAGCACGGAGGACACAGACAACATGGTGTCTGGCCCCACCCCCTCCCATGATCGAACCAGTCCCGTATCCCATGGAGGCCCCGGGCACAAACCCATAAGGACCCACTGAAAAACTCTGTCACTGAGCAAGAGGGTGGCAGGGTAGGAAGTGTCAAAGACAAACTCAAAACTCTGCATGTTTACAGGTATGGTGGGAGCCGTTAGGAAAATAATATCCTAACAAAATATTAAATCACATTCACAATCACATTTACTCATACTACCAGAAATAATGACTTAGCAATAAGTCATGGATGCCTCACTCACACTTTCAACTTCTCCTTCTTGTGGCTGCGAGAGATTGTCGAGAGTGGGTTTCAACTCCTCAGAGAGTCTCTCTAATCGAAGGACACGCTGCCCAGTCCTGCACCATCCCCATACTTCTTCCAGGCTCCCTGGCGTTCTCTTCAATACACTGACATTTGATTTTCCAGGTGCTTTATTTTAACATAATGTTAGATGCCTAGAAACGTTGAAAAAGGAAGTTGTCACATGCCATTTTGTACTTTCCCCCGATGCTAATATCCAGCAACTTGCTTTTTATCTTGACACTTAGCCCTGGTGATGAAAAGGTTAAGCATTCCGCTGCTAACTGGGCGGTTGCTGGTTCAGCTCACTCAGCCAGAGGCCGATGGCAGTCAAGGAACCCCCACAGGGCAGTTCTACTGTGTCACGCAGGGTCACGATGAGTCTAAATCAACTCAACAGCACCCAACAAGTGTAGCAAGCTGAGCAAACCAGGAATGTTTTTTTTCTGCAACCCTGCCTGTAGACATTAATGAGCAGTGGGTTATGCACTAGGCTGCCACCGTTCAAATCACCAGCTGCTCCACGGGAGAAAGATAAGGCTTTCCACTCCTGTTCGTCTCACATACTCCGGACGTGTTGTCAGGAGAGACCAGTCCCTGGAGGGCACCATGCTTGGTAAAGCAGAGGGGCAAGGAAGAAGAGGAAGGTCCTCAACCAGGTGGGTTGACACGTGACTACAATGATGGGCTCAAACAGAAGAACGGTTGTGAGGACGGCACAGGACCGGGCAGGGTTTCCTTTTGCTGTGCACCGGGTTGCTTATGATTCAAAGGCACTTGACAACAACAAATACAACAGCGATTCACCATCTCAGAAGCCCACGGGGGAAGCTCTCCCCTGTCCTGCAGGGTCACTAGGAGTCAGGTGGACGGGATGGCAGTTTGGTTTGAAGGTGCCCCTTTGGGTGGCCACATTGACTGGTCCAGGGCGTTCTTACTCTATTCCCTGCTAAGATGGGGACAGTTTGTGTCACCCGGAGAAGAAATGTGTGCTGTGAGGATGTCGGTGGACGCGCTTCCCATTACCTTCTCTTCCTTTAGGTCATTTTGGATCTGGTGTTGCCTCCTATTTTATATTCTTGAGATGGTTATTTGGAATTAACATCATGCTCACCGTCATGACCAGCGCTTTTATTGTCATTCCAGAGGTAAGAAGCTCTCTTTAGAAAGGGGGCACTTTAGGAGGACTGGCTTATGACCACTGCTCTTGCTAGCCCAAGTAGGGAGGGGACATGTATTTGGAAACAGAGGTTGGCAAACATTTTCTGTCGTGGGGAAGGGGCCATTGCTATTCAGCACTGTCAAGGCAGGTTCTCCTCATAGCAAAAGCCCCCAGGCCAGAGAAGAGGTGTCCTTGTAGGGTTTGCTAAACGGTGACCTTTCAAAGGGAAGCTCACCAGGTCTTTTCTCCTGAGGTTGCCGGTTGAACTTGAACCACCAACCTTTCTTTCTGCACCAAACGCGGAACTCTTGCCCTAAGAAGGGCTCCTGGAGAGCAGTCAGACACAGCATCTAAATGAAGGAGCATGGCCCCGTGTCCCACTTACACTCTATTCATGGACCCAGGGATGTCATGTCACTTTACCTGTCGTTTTATGTGGGCTTGTTTAGGTTAAGGTGGCTTCTTCTTCTATGGATTTTTTTCCCACCCCACCCCCAATCACTTAAACAGGTGAAGCCTATTCTTAGCTTTCAGGTCATACAAAAAGATATGATGTATGGACTACAGTTTGCTAACTGTATGTTAAAATAAAAGCCCCTGGTGGCACAGCAGACTAAGCCCTGGCTGGGGGTCCTGCCCTGTCTGCTCGATCATTCATTGCTCTTTTAGAGCAAGATCACTTGAGGAAAAACCCACCACTTCAGGTCCCAGCCATTGCTCCACTTGACTTTCAAAGGGCACTCAACCATAATGCAAAATCACCGCCATCGAGTCCAGACTGACTCATAGTGACCCTAAACGACAGGGTAGAACTGCCCCTGTGGGTTTCTAAGACTGTAACTCTTTATGGGAGCACGAAGCCTCATCTTTCTCCCATGGAGCAGCTGGTGGGTTTGAACCACAGACTTTACGGTAAGCAGGCTAACCCCTAACCACAGCTCCACCAGAGCTCCTAGTGAATACGAACTAGAAAGTCAACATCACATAGTGAACACGCATACTGAGTGTCTCCCAAAATAAAAAATCTGGCCATCCATAATGACAATAGCCACCCATAATAGCTCCATCCTGTGGGAATCAGGCCCAGATCCACCCACTGGCGAGCTGTCAAGTGAAACACCTTCATGGGCAGAAAGGGAGCAGTTGACCTAGTTCTCCCGGCCCCTTCTCACCCAGAGGACCGCATGGCCTCCTTTTCTCTCTCACCAGCTGATTGCAGGCCAGCCCTTTGGGAGCACTGCTAGCAAGACCGTCCCCAAGGAACACATTGCATCTGCCCAAGACCTGGACACCGTCTGGTCCCTGGGGGTGAGCGGGATGCTGGCCACAATCTTGTCTCCAGGGAGGAGGCGGAGGGGTCCGGGTTCTGGTACCCGGGAAACAGAAGTGATGCCAAGTATTCTCTTTGCAGGGCTACCTCCAGTACTCAGTCCTCTTCTATGGCTACTACGGCAGGGAGAGGAGGATCGGCAGAGCTGGCTATCGGCTGCCTCTGGCATATTTCCTGGTGGGGATGGCCGTGTTTGCTTACAGCTTCATCATTCTTTTAAGAAAGTATGACCATTCAATGTCTTAAAAACAGGGGCCAAATTGCAAATGCATGGGATCTCATTTAGTCTTGCTAAGACCCTAACAGTCACATTTCATGGATAATGACGCCAAGGCTGAGAGAGCCTTGTGGTGATTGAATCAGCACTGACTGAGCATGGAGGAGTGGAGCCCTGGTGGCATAGTAGGTTACACATTGGACTGATAACCACAAGATCACAAGATCGAACCCACCAACTGTCCACAGAAAGACGAGGCTTTCTGCTCTCATCACAGTGTACAGCCTCAGAAAGCCAGGTGGGCAGCTCGTGCACACAGTCACTGAATCAGAATCAACTCAATGGCCGTGGTTTGGTTTGAGTTCTTAATGGGACATTCAGTATTTTGAGCCAGGTTTTGTTGTGCTGGGCTGGGAGAAACAAGAATCAAGTCCTCCAAACTCAACTCACTGCGGTAGAGTCAAATCCGACTCATATTGTCCATGAAGGACAGAGAAGGTTGTAAATCTTTTCAGGAGTAAAACGTCTCGTCTGTTTCCCAAGGAGCATGCCTGTTGGATTCAAACTGCTGGCTTTTCAGTTAGAACCTGACACCGTAACCCTTACGTCGTCATATAGATGCACTGACTCAATAGATTTCAGACAGGTAGTAACTGCACTAACTGTGATATAGACGATATGACCTGGGTCACCAGAAGTGGCAGAAAGAACAATATCTCCCTTGGCCTCTAAGTTTGCCTGTGGCCTGGTTGCATTGCTCTCAACAGGCCAGACTGGTCTGGGTCACGATGCAGTTGACGTATCTGGTGCATCCTTGAGAGGCGGTGTGCCAGAAACACAAAAACAAAGTGGCTGGTACCACCCACCTTTGATGAGACCTTCAGCAACTCACTTTTCCTCTCTCTAGGTCTCATCTGTAAACTGGTCACACTGGCTCACACAAAAAAACCAACAAAAAAAACCACCACGTTCCCGCCCAGCTTTAATATTCTGTGCTGCTGGGAACCGGTTGCCATCAAGTATCACACTAGAACTGTGCTCCAGAGTTTGGGGGGTGGGGATGATATTTGGGGACACAGTTGTCACACCTCTCTTCTGAGGCACCCAAACTTTTGGAGCAGCTAAGCATATTTACTGTTTGTAGTGCCCAAGGCCTCTCGGTGCTTCTGGAGGGTGACGTGGGGAGCTAGTTAACGCAGACTGACCAAGAAGGTCTGTCCGAGGGAAAACTGGGGCCCACCCCTTTGACTCACCTGTTACTTCTTTCTAACTTGTTCTTCCTGCTCATTGTCTTTTTTCGCCCCATCATTTTATTGGGGGCTCTTACAGCTCTTATAATATTCCATATATCAATTGTATCAAGCATATTTGTACATATGTTGCCATCATCATTTCTGCTTGAGCATTTTCTGTATATGACTCAAGACATTTTCTGCTTGAGCTCTTGATATGAGCTCCTCTTTTTTCCCCTCCCTCCCTCCCTCCCACCCTTTATCAATGATACATTGTTATTGTTATTTCGTGTCTTACACCGTCCTTTGTCTCCCTTCACCCACATTTCTCTCATTTGTCCTATCCTGGGAAGAGGGGGGCTATATATCCAATCTTGTGATGGGTTCCCCTTTTCTCACCCTTCCCCCTCCCTGACCATCCCCCTGCCTTCATGATATCACTATTCCCATTTCTGTCCCTGAAGGGTTAATCTTTCCTGAATTCCCTGTGTTGAGAGCTCCTATCTGTACCAATGTTTCACCCTGCCCCTTGTGAAAAAATTTAGCAAAGTCAGACTGAAGAGGAAGGAAGGAAGGCAGGCAGGCAGGAAGGAAGGAAGGAAGGAAGGAGCGAGCCAGCCAGCCAATGTGAGGAGATGCACAGTGACTTGGTGGCCAAGACCTTTGCTAAATTAACAATGTCTGAGGGGTCCTCAGAAGGCTTGTGAGAAAATGGAATTAAAACCTAATAGGGATTTTCTCACAAGCCTTTTTAATCTCCTCCCTAGAAATGCATTGGCAAATGGGAGCAAACTCAAGGGAAAAAATAAGGATTGAGTGGAAAGTGGAAGCTTTATAATAAGGGCAATGGTCTGAGGGACAGAAGAATCTCACCTGAGGAAGGATGCAACACCTGCTTTAAGATAGCTAAAAGAATGCCCTAGGTAGGAGAAGCCCTGGTAGCATTGCGGGTTATGTGTTGGGCAAGGTCAGTGGTTCAAAACCACCTGGTGTTCCTCGGGAGGAAGATGAGGCTGTCTGCTCCCATACATCTTTACAGGCTGGAAAACCTACAGCAGCTGTTCTACTCTGTCCATAGGGGCTATAGGGTCTCTATAAATCAAGTGTGACTAAATGCCTGTGAGTGAGTCATATACAGGAGGGACGGCACCTGTTGTGTGCGGTCCAAAAGAGTAGCACCATAGCGGACGCTCCAAGTAGATTGACTCAGCTGCAAGGACAGTATTGCATGTCACAATTCCAGGTGCGAAAAGAGGACTGGGCAGGTTCCTGGGACACGGACACACACACACACACACACACACACACACCCCTCCAGTGACCTACTAGCCTTCACAGGGGTGGGACTGCTTGTCAAACGGATCCACACAGTCAAGTGCAGTTGCAGCTTTCACGCTGCCCAAAGAGGTCGGTCAAGGTGGCTGGAATCATCAGCCTGCTTGCTAAGCATTGACCTCAGAAGTGACATCCATCCAGAGGGACCACCTTTTTTGAACTTGAATAGTTTGCATGGACTGGGCACAGCCTCGCATAGCTGTTTTAATTCCTCGCCCTGTCCTTTGATAACCTGTCCTGGGCGCTCTTTTGCAGGATGGCAAAGAACTCCCGTACAAGCCTCGCCAGTGCCTCTCATGAAAACTACACGTTCTGCTGGCGCGTGTTTTGTGCCTGGGATTACCTCATTGGAAACCCAGAGGCTGCAGAGAGCAAAACGGCAGCCATTGTGAACAGCATCCGGGTGAGTGAGACAGCCTGTCCGCGCTGCCAGGGGAGGGAGTCAGCACACAATTGTTTACAGAGTTAGCTGTGGCCCTCTGAGAGAGGAGATAGTAAGATGGTAGACAGAGAGATAGAAAGAGAGAGAAGAGAAGAAGAAAATAGAGGGTAGAGAACAAAGAGTGAAAAACTAGCTAGAAAGACAGGTAGAAGACTGGATGAATGGATGGATGAATGGATGGATGGATGGATGGATGGACGGACGGACGGACGGACGGACGGACGGACGGACGGACGGATTCATTGATAGAAAGAGGGACAACTACAAGCTACCCCCAACATGAGCTGGCTCCTCTTCCAAGGATGCACCCTCCCCAAGGAGTGAGGGAAGAAACTATTGGAGTTTCGCTTTTTCTTTTTTAATTGAGTGCATTTTAAATTTCCGTTTTTAAATGTTTGATAAGTTACACGATGGCGCATTAGGATCTCGTGTGTATGTCACTTGTAAAGGAATGCCGAGAGGAACATTGGGGATATAAGCTTTCATTGGTTTTTTTCACTGTGGAAGATGATGCCATCAAAAGCATTCGGAGACAGGGGTCCAGGAAACGGGCAGCTAAGGGCGGGGCCCAGTTTTGAAAGAGAAAGGCAGTACCTGATCGCCCAGATCAGTGACTCTTATCTGACACAGAAATGAGGACCCACTGTCACCTGGCTTTCCAACACAAATGCAGGGAGAAGAGGGACGAAGTGAGAGCTGGGAGGAGGCAGCCCTAGCAAAGCACAGCCAGCTGTCAAGCTCTGGTGGCAGAGATGCGCTTCTGTCCCCACTGTGGTCATCAAGGACACAGTATCCACAGGGGACGGGCTCACAGAAAGCGTGACGCTCACCGACCGTGTCCAAGACAGGGACACTTGTAGGAAACCTTTTAGAAATGCTTTCAACAAAATGCATGAACTATCTATTTATCTACACACATGTATACGCATCTAACGACTTCAGACATTCAGGGAAGGATTCGGTAGGGCTTCAGAGAGCAGTTCTCCATTTCGGGTTAGGTCAGGCCCCTGGGGTATGTTCTTAGCAGTGTAGACCCAGACTGGGAGTTAGGGGGTTTTCTCTGCCAGGACCATGACCGCCCCCCCCCACACACACACACACACCACTCCCATTCTTAGCCGTACGGACGTGCAGTCTCTTGGGGCCGCTTTCTCAGAACAACAGCAAGCCGTGTCTCCCTCTCCCTTTCCCCTCCCACCAGGACATCCGACTCCAGAGTTGCCACTGTTCCGTTCACTCCTGCATCAGACCACGGGAAACACCAGCCTGCCTTGGGCCCTCCATCTAGGACTTCCCTCTAGTCATCTTCCAAGGCAGTATCTCCAGGGACAAGGCCTCCACCCACCCCAGGCGGTGGCTTCAAACTCCTCTACCCCACCCAGCCGATGGGCGAGGCTCTGGTTTCGGCCTCTGTCTAGGCGTGACTCCAGAACCCAGGCCTCGTCCCTGGGGCCAGCTCCCTTAGCCGGGGACTCTTCCCCTACACCCTCCTGCTCATGACCCACAGGACGGCTGTCCTGGGCCCTGCTATGCTGTGCTGAGGTGCTTGTATGGCTAATTGATTTCCACTCTCCCCACTGAGCTCTTTGAATGGGGCAAGATTTACACGTTTATTGGTGAAGTCTCTCTCCTGCCTTGTACCCCAGCTACCCAATTCGTGTTGCATGCAAGTATTGCAGGCAGTTTCTTTGTGATTCCTTCCAGAGGCCATCTATGCAAATGTACTCAAAGTATGCACAAATGATTATATTATTTATAGACAAATGTATCCCATGCAGTGTTATATGAAACAGCTTGAAAGTCCTTCTCTTTCTGGACATAAAAAAGTATATTATTCTTTTAAACTGATCCAGAAGCCAGTGGCATACTTGACTTATGCAGACTCATATTGGCAGACAGCCAGCTCAGGTGGTTTCTGCGGCTTTCATGTTATTAAAAAAAAAAACCAGTCATAGTGAATAACTGGGTTTGCATCATTTCAATGTGTGGGTCCAGTCATATACATCAGGCATATATCGAGGAAATGCATTGCTGGTGAAAGAGTATACATATTTGTAGCTGTACACACGTGTATTTGTATATATAAGGGGGCTTCAAAAGGCTTATGGAAATTTTCATTCTCTTTGACTTTCATTTTCCATGAGCTTTTTGACGTCCTCATATCACTCTAACAGGGTTGGGTACATTGTCCTACCTGGAGTGTTTTCCTTTCTTTCTTTTATTGTGAATCAGATGGGGGATTATATTTCAGATCATCATTTTTGTATTCAACAATTGAAACAACTCATCAAACCTCCCCATAGCTTGCCCTCTCACCGCCTCCCCATTGAACCCTCTTCTTCCCACCTACAATAGCATCTCCCCTTCCCCTTAGTGACCATCTGTGCCAGCTGTTTCTGAGAATGCTGGCTAAAACTCACAACTTTGCCTTAGGAGGTAAACCAGACCTGAGAATCTTAACTACCTGTCTAATAATTTTATTCAAATTATCTCTTGGAACACTTTTAATTTACATTTTGTATTAGTTTAAGAACCTTCAACATTCTTTTTCCTGGGCAACATCTGGTCACATTCTTTGATTTTTTTCTTCTTCTTCAATCTATTGGAATTAGATATTATTTTCTTGTTAACTTGTAGACTCTGTATACATGTTGTGTTAGTCCAGGTAGACTAGAAAAACAAAGTTATAGACAACTCATATGTATATAAGAAAGAGTTTTGTATACAAGAGCAATTGAATATTGAGAAAACATCCCAACCCAGTCCAGATCAAGTCCATAAATCCGTTATTAGCCCATATGCCCGATACCAGTCTATGAAGTCCTCTTCAGGCTCACGCAATACTTGTAATGACACCAAATGCAGGCAAGTCTTGTGGATCCAGTGGTGGTGGAAGCATCTCAGCACTGGCATGGGTCTCCCTGTGGCTTCTCCAGCTCCAGGGCTCTAGCAGCTCCATGTGTCTTGCCACCAGTAATACAAAGCAGAGAGTGTGTCTGGCCTACAATGAACTATTTATATCCTCTGCACCTCCAAATGAGATCATCAAGCTGAGACCTGATTGACAGGCTAAACTCCAGCCCTTTACTCTTAATAGTCTCAAATTACACCAGATTATGTAACTGCCACACAAATTAAGAAAATGAATCCTTTCTTGGTGATACCTTTTCCTCTAAGTGTTTTGTCTTATGATTTGGTGGTGGTGGGTTTGGCTGGGCTGAATATTTTATTTGTTGTGTTGAGTTTATATTCTACTTAGAAAGAGATTCCTCTCCTTAGGATTAAATGAGTTGTTTCAGCTCAGCTGTATGTCTCCACTGGGGGAAAAAATTTCTGATTGGCCAACTCATGCCCTGTCCAGCCCCTCTTCCCCATCTCCAATTCCTTTTCCTATTGAAGACCATCAAGACATTGACTACAAAAGAAGCTTCTAAGAGGAAGCCTAAGACATTGAACATGTCATTAAGAATACTTGATCAACCCTTCCTAATTGCAAATGAACCGGATCGTTTCTGGTGATTTATGCTCCACTCTAATGCTAGACTCGTAATGCTGTGTGTGTCTTCTCTTCAAGGAGGCTATACTGGAAGAGCAGGAGAAGAAGAAAAGCAAAAACCTGTATGTATTAATGCTCCCCTGGCTGGATGCATGGATAAGCTTTGTTTCAGTGTGGTACAGAAATATACCAGATAGTAACTATCTTAAGACACTGGAGCTCTTATTTTTAGAGAGCTCTTTCTGCTTCTTAATCTCCGTCCTTATAGTAACATGAGAGTTGAGAACTCTATAATAGTTCCACAGCAGTATCTC